CTATATTGAGCACTCAGACCCAAGGTATCTGGGGTTATGTCGAACGAGGGGAATCCGTTGTAAAATTAAAGTTATGCATTTTAATGCATTTTTAAGATTGTTGTAAAATGGAAATATTCTCTCTACATGGAGATAATTAAGTTAACTCAGGACACAACCCAATTATCTCCAGGATAGAGATGATGGATTTTCATGTTCATGTGGGAGTGTGCTACAGGGAGTACTCCTTGTTGGAAGACTTGCATAAAAGGCCAAGCTGTGGCCACCATTGCGTTCTACAAAGAAGTAAATAGAAGTACAGATCAGGGTGTTGCAGTGGATGTGATCTATTTGGATGTTGCCAAGGCATTTGACACAGTTCCACACAATAGATTAGTGTTCAAACTCAAGGAAATCGGTCTAGATGAAAATGCTTGTTCTTGGGTAGAACATTGGCTTAAAAACAGAGTACAAAGAGTTGTCATTAATGGTAAATTTTCAAGCTGGACAGAGGTGGCAAGTGGTGTCCCTCAGGGGTCTGTTCTGGGACCCCTTCTATATAACATTTTTATAAATGATCCTGAAAACAGCATTGAAAGTCATGTTTCAGTGTTTGCAGATGACACAAAACTCGTAATACAATGTGAGCAAGATATTACTTTGCTGCATGGGATTTAGATAGACTGGGGGACTGGGCACTCAAATGGCAGATGAAATTTAATGTTGAAAAAGGCACTTCGGCGTAAAGAATACACAAGCAACGTATACCCTTATTGGAAGCGAATTAGGGATAACAACACACGAAAAGGACTTGGGAATTGTTATAGACAACAAACTATTCAACAATGTGCACTGTCAATCAGCAGTGGCCAAGGCCAGTAAGGTATTTTCATGCATGAAAAAGTGCACTCATTCTCGGGACGAGAATATCATTTTCCCTTTTTATAAATCCCTGGTAAGACCACATATTGAATATGCTGTGCAATTTTGGACACCTGTTCTAAAGAAGGATATTATGGCACTAGAAAAAGTGCAGAGGCGGGCTACAAAATTAATAAAAGGAATGGAACATATCAGCTATGAAGAAAGGTTAACAAATGTAAACCTATTTAGTTTAGAAAAAACATCGCCTGAGAGGGGATATGATAAGATTATACAAATATATTCGGGGCCAATACAAACCATTGTGTGGAAATCTATTCACAAACCGGACTTTACATAGGACACGAGGCCATGTGTTTAGACTGGAAGAAAGAAGATTTCGTCTAAGGCAAAGGAAAGGTTTTTTTACTGTAAGAACAATCAGGATGTGGAATTCTCTGCCTGAAGAAGTGGTTTTATCAGAGTCCATACAGATGTTCAAACGGCTACTAGATGCATACTTGCAAGAACAGAATATTCAAGGATATAATCTTTCAATGTAGGGTAATAACTGCTTGATCCAAAGATAAATCTGACTGCCATTCTGGGGTCAAAAAGGAATTTTTTTCCTAGCTTGTTGCAAAATTGTGCTTCAAACTGTTTTTTTTTTCCTTCTTTTGGATCAACAGCAAAAAAGCAAATGTGAGGAAGGCTGAACTTAATGGACGCAAGTCTCTTTTCAGCTATGTAACACCTTGTCAGTTTGCAATATCTCTTATAGACAAAGTACACAGTTTAAGAAATACATTTCATTCTAGAACTTGTAATATTTGCATTTGACCATAACAGGATAAACATGCTTTTCCCATTCCCTCTCATGAGAAATTCGTGCAACATGCGTAAATCCGAGGTAGTCGGAATGTCCAATGAAATATGGGAAATATCAGACTGAAAGATGGGAAACAGATTGAGCAGTCTAGATATAAAAGTCCTGCCATGTAGGATAATTTTCACGGCAAAGTTGAGGGAGCCTAATCGAGACTTTAATTCTGTACGATTACAAGATCCGTAGAGAGATATAGATCAATGCTGGATAGGATGTGTTCACTCTTATCTCTAAGCAAACTGGTTGGCATATTGACCGAATCTAGCGTGTTACCCAGTAAATTAATCAACGCGTCAGGTCCGTGTAGCAAACCTAACCACTTCTGGACACTTAGGGTGAATATTTCGTTAACTGTTGCTATGCTCGTTTTATATGCAGTGTGTAGCAGTCGTCTGAATATTATATCAGTTATGGTTTTTTTATGTTAAACTGTATATTTTGCTGTAGATAATGTGATTAACAGTACATTCTTGCACAATTATCTCTCCTGTACAGCAAGGCATGCTGGAAAGTTCCCCACACAGTCCTCTGTAGTAAAACCCCTGCAATGTCATTAAGGAAACCCCTTGCATGGGCTCTTGCATAAATACTGTGTAATGGATCACCTGGCACCCCGACTGGGTACCTCCGTTGATGGTTGCTCCTGGCACTTCCTGAGGGCTCCAAGCACTCCAGCAGACACCATAACCACCATAGACTCCTTCAGAGAGAAAGACAGGAACAAGCTCTTCCAAGAGCTTAGTAGTGATATAGCACAAGAGTATGACTGTCATAGCAATCCCTTGTAGTAGATTCCCCCAATAAGAGACTGCACTCCAAATTGAGGGTGAAGTAGAACTGAACTTTTATTCAAACAGTCTGCTTTTATTTTACAAACATAGTACCACCCACAGGATTTTGAAGTACAACCAATCAATACGTACAATAAACTCAGAACCTCTCACACAAAATCCTCCCCTCTGCCTGTGATATAATTACTGAACACAATGGGGTAATGTAATTATCACAGGAAAATACACAGTTTTACACAATATTCATAACTTCAAAAGTATACATCACATTCACATAAAACTTACATTTTCAGCATACTCCAAATACAAACATACGTCAAAATCAAACAAATTGGTCCAGTGGGTCCAAAGTTAGTTGGAAGTCCCTTTTGTGACCGACTGCAAGCATGGCTTGGGTGTGGTAAGCCAACTATCTCCAGCATACAGAAAAAAAGCTCTATTCACAACAACAGTAAAAACACATAAAAATACACAATTTCTATTATACTGAACAGAACCCCCACATTCAACCTATCCCCAGATAGCTTGGATCTGAGAGCTCAATATATCCGTAAAGCGCTAAGATCCCACGAACAGAATAAAATCGCCATGGGGTTTCATTTAAGGGCCAGAACAGTCTTTTAAAAGTTCATAAGCCCCAAGTGTTTTTAACGTGCCCAATCTCCCAGGCATGAGGCTGGCAATCAGTCCCCTCCAAAACTAGTGGCGAGGTCCCTTTCGCCACATACTGTGACCGTGGAATAAAATGACAGTTGACTGTTGACTCCCAGACTATGTGTCGTCTAGTCCTTGGGGAAGAGGGATTATTATTACGCTGCCTGTGTTTTACCTGCTTTATCCTAACTACCAGCGGAGATACCGTGGATTATACTGCTACTCCGCTACAGTCCTTCTATCTTTTTATGGGAGATTGGGACCCCTAGGTATTGGAAAAGCTGGATCGTGGCTCTCAGGCTACTGGGTGTAAATAAGTTGCTCTCAATAGTCAAAAAGTCATCTAAATAGTGAATAACTGTGGGGCATGATGATTCCTGTGTGGAACCCTTGTGGGACATGATGATTGCCGTGAATCCAGTCACCAAAAACTCCACCAAGTGGGGTGAGGGATGGTTATGTAATAAGTTGGCGAAAAGTCTCATTGATTGAGGCCATGTAGGGTTTGGGAAACAATTTATTTAGACACATTGTCTTGGCATGTGCCTTAAAACAAAGAGAACACACATGCAATAACCGGCAAGCACTAAATCCACAGGAACCTGCATTAAAGATATTGCAAAATCTGGGATTTTATGACCAAGCTTTTAGGATTTAGCGAAGGAGGTCAGGAAAGAAAAGGTAGCACCCAGCTCAGGGGTATTACGACATATGTTCGTGGTATGTGAGGATGAAGAGCAAATACGACAAGCTGGGGACGTGAGGCCCGCGAAGTGCCTGCAACAGCTCCGTGTCCAACTGGCTCCAACCCATCTTAAAATTTAACTGAGCTGCAGACGCCTTCATGGAGAATGAGCTGTGGTAATAATAAAATGATGTACCGCCATACTTATACCCCGGGTCCACCAGCTTGTGTAAATACAGATCAAATTCCTCTCTGCGCTCGGGACGAACTCAGGAATTGACAACTTCATATTCCACATGGGGTCCCTATCCTTCAGTACAACAGAGACATCGTCATAGGCATACGTCTTGTTCTCCAGAATATCTTGGGAGGTAATCAGCAAAAATGTCCTCTTGTGGTAGTTTTTCTTCTTTTAAATATAGTCTCCTCCTTTACTGTGTTGATTCCCTTTATGTATTTAAATGTTTCTTTCAACATTCATCAGTTAATTGCTATGTGAGTAGATAAGATACAAAGATATCAAACGAAATGATTCACAGTGTAATTATAGGTTCAGGATGAAGCATATCATTGTCAAAAACACTGCAAATAAAATAAATATATATGTACAGATTTATGGACCAATATGGTCCGTTCAAAGAATGAAATCCATGCATTAATTGCTGTCACTATTTACAACAAATGCTCGGAGACGTATTTTGGTAATCATCCGTTTTCTTTCCATATTAACTTAACAAAAATTTGCATCTTGAGTTTGAAATTAAACATCAAGCGCTAAGTGATGTTTTTTTTCGTTCCATACCTGTAATATAAACTATTCTATTTTCAAGTGTCTTTATTAACATCTAATCATTTCTAGTCTTCACTAGGATAACAATTGCCATTTTCTCTATAAGCTTGCCAGCATTAGTAACAAGTCTTCACTATATGTGATTTTAATTATCTGATAATTGGATTATGTTGTCACATTAGTAAGCCACATTGAGATCTATTAGGCTTAGTTAATTCCGGGCTCTATCTCCTCTCCGTGTCTTAATGAGTTTTTTCTCCCCAATCATTGAAATAATCTTCGGTGCACTCACTGCCCATTTGTGCATTTGAATATGGCTGTTCCAATCAGAGTGAAGCATTCACCCCTTTTAAACCGGCAATGTCGTAGGTGCTGTTCCCCTCTGATGAGCTGAACTAGCGAAACGCTTGTCAGGGGCTGTGCAGCTTTCACTATCGTACTACTTAGCTACCAGGCATTTAGATTTATTGGATGTACATCTCGACTACTTAGGCAGCGATTTTAGCTGCGTATTGTCATCATACTTATTCATTTACAGCGCTACAGAATCTGATGGCGCTATATAAATAATAATAATACAGCATTGAGGTTTAACTAAACCGATCTTATTTCAGTGTTGGGTGGAGCACAAGGCCGGACAGGGATATCTCTCCCCTTATTTTTGGTTTAAGTGGTGCCCTCTAAGGCACAATAGGGCAAGTTATCCATCTAGACTCCCCTCCTATCCCCCCTTTTCCTTCATCCTAAATCATTTCATTTCACTGCAAGCTGTTTGGTTAGTCACATCTCTGCATTTTATTTTTCTTACAGCAATAGATGTATCACAACGTCCTAATGCTATTTAACATAATTGTGTATCATAAGTACAACTATAGCCGATCTTATTTCAGTGTTGGGTGGAGGACAAGGCCGGACAGGGATATCTCTCCCCTTATTTTTGGTTTAAGTGGTGCCCTCTAAGGCACAATAGGGCAAGTTATCCATTTAGACTCCCCTCCTATCCCCCCTTTTCCTTCATCCTAAATCATTTCATTTCACTGCAAGCTGTTTGGTTAGTCACATCTCTGCATTTTATTTTTCTTACAGCAATAGATGTATCACAACGTCCTAATGCTATTTAACATAATTGTGTATCATAAGTACAACTATAGCCGATATTATTTCAGTGTTGTGTGGAGGGTATATTACTGCATAAGGACAGGAATATCTGTTTTGGGTTAAGGGGCGGCCATGAAGGCACAATAGGGAAAGTTATTCAACTTAGATTCCCCTTTCTTCTGTATTGCTCAATCCGCAACTATTCCATTTCACTGTAAGTCGCTTGGTTCGTTATATTTCTGCAGTTTATTTTTTGAACAGCAATAGATCGATCACGGCGGTACACTGATACTATTTTACACCATTGTGTGTCAAACCAGTACATATCTATTTTTCCTGGCCATATCCATGGCAGCACAACATTGGGTAGCTCCTCCCTATCCCTGATTGGATAGGATAATAATTGAAAGGTATAAGTACCAACTCCTACCCCAGTCTTTTTTTCCTGTCCTATCCATAGGACATGTTGGTCTTAAGACCATGTAAAGTTTTCTTTTATGGCTTACCTGAGGATTAGTTCCTTTAACCCCTTGGGAGTTCACCCTCTCTCCCCTGGGAAGTCTCCAGTATACGGCCCTGCGCAAAGTCCCCCTGGAGAAAACCCCTTTAAGTGACCGGGGGGTTTTCTGTCAACTTGCAGTGACCCTAGGGGTAGCAAGTATGATTTAAGTATCTATGTATGGAATTTACCCTTTATCCAGGAAGAGGAAGTCCTTGCAATATTTGGAGTGAAAGAAGATGTCAGCATTACCTGTGAACGGATGAGAGCTGCAAGCGGTAATATTGTTTTCACATTTGCAGTGTACTAATGTGGGTTCGGCGTTTGGATGTTTCGGCGCGCATGTGCGTCATTCGTGTCTTTACTAGAGCATGGGCACTAGCCAAGCATTGCCGGTTTGCTCGCGTGCTTTTCTTTCGGCTAATTTCAGCGATCGGCAGTTTAGTTCGGGTGCATGCGCAAGTTAGGTTGCGCATGCGCAATGGCTTCTTATGGCGTCAGACGCCCTTTTTAAAGCGCCAAATTCAAATTCCTATGTTATACTTGCAATAGTTGTTGGTTAAATAAGGATATTCTGTATACTCACCACTTACCCTCCTGGGAGCTTGGACTTTGGATTTTTGCTTAAAGTAAGTTAAGTTTCAGATAATTCCTTTTCTCCTCCTTTTGGAGTTTTAATTTTAAAACCCTTTTTTCTTTATATGTTATACATATAGATGGATACTCGTTGTAGATCCAGGGATTCAGAATCTTCTCATCATAATAGGTCACAATCAAAGCAGTATAGGTAAGCCATTTTCCTTTTACATATCTTAGAGATACTGCAAAAAAAAAGAGGAAGGTACTGAATGGCAAAAAAAATTCTTTAGCAATGCCAAAGGTACCAGGACTTCAGGATCGTCCAAGGGGAAGTCGCCCAAAAGGACGCTATGCATATCCTGTGACAACAGAGCCATAGAAGGGAAACGTCTCTGTTCAGATTGTCTCTCAGCAGCTGCAGGTCCATCTCATCCTACACCGGACATTATGCAATATATTAAGCAAGCTGTGGCTCAGGGCATCAAGGAAGTTGTCAAAGTCCACAAACGTCCAAGATACTCTGATCTTTCAGATTATTCTCCAGGAGACTCAGGAGAGGAGTTTATGGAGTCAGCCTCGCTCAGAGACCTAGCATTTTCCTCGGAGGAGGATACGCTGCCAGATCCAGACTACCTGGAACCAGCGGAAGTGGATCATTTAATTGCCCGGGTTAGAAAAGCCCTTACTTTAAAGGAGCCCTCGGAAGAGGAACCGTCTACATCCAGTCGCCATTTCTCCGATCTTAGGAAGAAAAGGGCTACCTTCCCGGTGCATGATACAATAAGTGGACTGATTAAGGAGGAATGGTCCAGATCTGATAGGAGACCTTCTGCTAGAGGGAAATCCTGCAGGCTATATCCATTCGAGCCCAAAGATGCGGAGGCATGGGATTTTGCTCCCAAGGTTGATGCAGCAGTGGTCAGGCTGGCTAAGCATACCACCTTACCAGTGGATGATGCAGGATCCTTTAGGGATCCAATGGACCGGAAAATGGAATACAATCTTTCCAAGTCATATGTGACTTTAGGCACAAGTCTTCACCCTGCCGTGGCACTTACATCAGTCACAAGAGCAATGAAGGTCTGGCTGCAGGAACTAGAAGAGGACATTAGGAGTGGCAGAAGCCGTCCCTCCATATTGGATAGCCTGAGAGATATGAGATTAGCTATTGATTTATCATCTGAAGCAGCAGTAGACCTAGTGAGGAATCTTGCCAGAAATATGACTTTTACAATTTCTGCCAGACAAACGCTATGGGCTCAGATCCTGGGCGGCCGACGCTTCTTGCGAGAATAGTCTATGTTCTTTACCATTTCATGGGAATATGTTGTTTGGTAATAACATGGATGAGTGCATTAAAAAGGCTGCCGAAGGGAACAAAGCCTTTCTACCTCAGGAACAGAAATACAAAGGGTCCTTTCGTGCCCGCAAAGAATACCACTTCTTTCGTGATAGTAGATCCTACAAACCTGGGAGGGAGTATGGCAGATTTCAATCATGGAGAGGCGGCCAATCCAGAGGAAGAGGAGGCAAGTCCCGAGGCACTTCCTCCTCCAAAAACTCCAGGAATCTATGACTATATAGTCTCCCGATCAGAAGGAGTCGGGGCTTGTCTCCTTCAATACCAGTCCAGGTGGCAAGAGTCCACAAACAATCTTTGTGTTCTGGAGATTATTCGGAGGGGATATCTCCTGGAGTTTTACGAGAAGCCACCCAACAGATCCTTTCATCTTACAAAATGACCAGGAGACAAAGAGAAGCGTATGGCCTTACAGAAATTCGTCTCATCCCTACAAGCAGAAAGGGTTATTATAAAAGTTCAGGCATGCGAAAGAACTCAAGGGTTTTACTCCCACATCTTCCTAACAAAGAAATCCTCCGGAGGTTGGAGGCCTATTCTAGATCTACACAGGCTAAACAAGTATCTACACATCCGCCGGTTCAAGATGGAATCCCTTCAGTCCATAACCAGAGTAGTGCTCCCCAACCAATGGATGTTATCAATAGATCTATTGGATGCCTATTTTCACATGCCCATTCCGAAGGCTCACCAAAAGTTCCTAAGGTTCGCAGTAGAGGAAGGCCACTTCCAGTTCAGAGCCCTTCCATTTGGACTCCGTACGGACCCGAGGACATTCACAAAGGGATTAGTGGTTCTGCAGAACTGAGAAAGCAGAATATTGCTGTTTACCATTATTTAGACGACATCCTGATCGTAGGAGACGACAGGAATACATTGGCCTCCCAAGCTATCACCAGCGTCCAGTTTTTACAAGCACATGGCTGGAAAATCAACGCCATCCAACTCAATCTATGGTTTAATTAGGGGCCCACTTCAACACGCTGATGGGCACCGTTCAAATTTCTCAGGCAAGGATCGTGAAGATCAAGAAGCAACTGAAAAAGATACTAATATCCAGAGTTGTTCCTGCAAAGACGGTAATGAGTCTGCTCGGATCTATGTCTTCCACAATAGGTCTAACCAGGTGGGCACAGTGGAGAATGAGACCTTTCCAAGCCAATTTCCTGCTACAATTTTCCTTCCCGAATCTTCTCCAACCCATCAAGATTCCCCTCTCCATACGCCATTCTCTGATCTGGTGGCTGAACAGGAAGCACCTATCCAGAGGCTTGCGGTTGGGGGACATCTCATGGATAACAGTAACGACAGACGCAAGCCAATGGGGATGGGGTGCTCATTGTTTCCACAAGATGAATGGGGATTCACCACAAGCAACGTGTACTCCAATTTACTAGAGCTCCTAGTGGTTTTCAAAGCTCTGAAACGTTTCTCAGCACATCTCAGGCAACGGTGGGTAAAGATAAGAACAGACAACACAATGGTGGTCTCCTATATCAACCATCAAGGAGGAACCAGTAGTGGCAATATGATGGAGATTATGAAACATCTGATGTAATGGGCCCAAAGAAACCAAGCAGGTCTTACTGCCATTCACTTACCAGGGGAACGGAATCAACTGGCAGATTACCTCAGCAGATCCAGGATAGACCCGGGGGAATGGTGCTTATCAGACAAGGTGTTCCACACTATCGTAAGAAAGTGGGGTTTCCCTCAAGTGGATCTTCTGGCCACTCGAGACAACAGGAAGGTGAGGAATTTCTTTACGAAAGAGAACGACCATCTAGCCCTGGGAAGAGATGCTCTATCCAGTCCTTGGAGATTCACCATGCATTCCCTCCATTTCCACTGATCTTTCCAATCCTGAGGAGAATGAGGACAGAGAAGGTATCTCATCTTGATAGCGCCCTGTTGGCCTCGAAGACCTTGGTTTCCCCTCCTCCAAAGTCTTTGTGTGGAACCCCCACTTCGGCTCCCGGAAATTCCTGAACTACTATCTCAAGGCCCGGTTTTGCATCCAGACCCATCATCCCTCAA